TTCCAGGCAAACTCTGCATCAGCTTCAAGGGCTGATTGATTGCCTTCACTCAAGCTTCCCAGTTGAGAGCAGATATAAGACAACTTCTATACAGATTCAGAATATGTCTTTTATGTTACCATGCTCGTGTAGTTATCCAGAAAGAAAGGCAGCTACTAACAGCCCACTATACCATCATCAAGCATACCAGGAGATTTCTGCTCTCTTAGACACAGTATGGCCCCCATCAATATACAATATCAGGCCCACTCGCCTTCCAATTGCACTCTTAAAGCCCTGCATCACTTCCAAGTCTATAACCCATCTCTGTCCTTATGGAGTCCTCTATGGCAGTACTTGCCTTTGGTCCTACTTGTCTCAATAAGTCATATCATGGTCACAAATATTCAAGACTATTACAGATTACCAGAACAAATAAAGCCCCAAATCTGACTCCACTTTTCCAGCATCATCCTCTTACATTATCCCACAGGATTATTTATGCTTAAAAACTCTTCTGTAGGACAAAAACCCACTTGAGGCCGTGTAAACTAAACCTTACTGGGTACTACTTACCTCCCCAATGGCAGTCAAGCCACAAAGCTTGTAATTGTGAATTCATTTATTTGGGATAAAGACTGCTCCCTCTCCAAAAGATTGAAATAACTACACTTGTGAGACTCTGGTAGATCTCTTCTTCCCTTTCTGAGAAGACCTAGATCAGCAGTGGCAAACCTATGGCATGTGGGCTTCAGCGGGCACACAGATCCCTCTGTCAGCACTCAAACCAAGTCACACCAGCATCTCCTCAGCAGCCAAGCATCATATAACAGCATACAGAGAGACAGTATTGTCACTTTGCAACAAATAAGTGGGTTTGGGGTTGTAGTTTGGGCACTTAGTCTCTAAAAATTTCACCATCACTGACCTAGATGAAATTCATCTTCAAACACCCCTGCACCCTGAGGGGTAGTCAGGATTCTTCCTCTCATCTTTTAAAGTTTTATAATGAATCCTATAAGCTCTTCCTTCCTATTCCCTTAATGTCCTACAGGACTCAGCTCAACTCAGGACATTTGTCCTAGATTTATATCTCAAAGAGAATCTTTCAGACTATTCACGAACTGAAGTTGTCAACTACCTTGAGTTGCAATACCTGTCTTTATTCCCCTGTCTCAATACCATTATTCCTATACTGTACCTAGTGTTTCATCTCATTTTAATGGCCTGTCTTGTTGTACTCTTTACTTGTCTTCCCAAATTTACCCTGTGGTATCTCCTAAAATATAACCCCTGTGTTATTCGTCTATTTTAACATTCTCAGATATGCCCTCTCTGAGGTAGATAATATGGTGGTTGTATTATGCAGAGCCCTGTGTCTGGTTATTCAGCTTATGTTTCTTTATCATTGTGAACCAACTCCTTTGCCTTGCTGAGTCTAAACTGGCCCCATTTATGTTCTACAGCCTCCTTTTACTATATTTCTTACCTACTTTTTATCATTACACTAGTCATGACTTTTGCTTCTTTTCTTCATCAACCTGCTCATGAGTTTCACACATGGCCAATAGAAAGACAGTTATCTGGTTAGTTTTTCTCAAATTATGACTTTAGGAAATAATTTTTTCAAATGCTGGATTTGTCACCCTTTCCCCTAATGAACTGGACCTAAGGACATGCCCCTGTTGCTCCTACCTGCAAACAATTTAAACTTTTCCCTAAGCCAAGGCTCAACAAAGTCTGAACCCTCATTTGTCTCTCTCCCATCAAGTCCTTCACTCCCTTGTTTAGATCTAACCCTCCACTTGAACTACTCAACACATACAAGGTGTTCCCTCTCTCGTGTGTCACATCAAATCAATCTAGTGCCCCTGCCTTTCCCTCACCATGCTGCTTCAGTGTCAGCAACACCCCCACTAGTCCAATATCTCCTCATAATTTCTGTATTTGATACCTTACGTCTCTAACCTCACCCGTTGGTATCCCAGGGAAATATACAATATTCCAGATACTCAAAATACATGCATGTATTATTTGTCACAAAAGATATGTTCTATCTGGCAAATAGTTTATAAGTCCCCAGGGCTTGAGGAAAAGCCACAAGTCCTCAACCTCCAGTCTATCCATGGTATCAAAGTAGTAACTAAGGCAAACTTCCCCTGTGTCGCCTGGGGCATCCTCCATTAATACACTAGTTTAACTCCACTATGGCTCATAAAGCCTGTGCTCCATACAAAACCTGTTTCTCTGGTGCCTTAAATCACATTCATTGCCATATGAGAGCAACTCTAACACCCTCTGTCATATCGAGTTATTGCCTACCCTTGCATAGATAATGTTCAATTCAAGGGCCAATGGAAAACGGACAAGGTTACATTCAAGGAATAACACCACTTGTGTGTTATCATAAAGGCCTTTGGACTAATTCTAGCTGAAATTGGAGCAGCTATCAGTAGAAACTTGGATTGAATTTACTTACCATGAAACTACCTTAAGAAACCTGTGACTCTGACCACAGAAGACCTGCCTACCAATAACAGAGAAGCTCTTCAAAGCCTCTGAGAGTCATTAGATTCAAGGATAATGTTGTCTTAGGCAGCTGGTTAGCAGTAGACTACCTCCTGACAGATCAAAGGGGAGTTTTATAAGTTTCAATAAAATCTACTGCACTTATATAAACAACTATGTAAACAGCTCAGGCAAGGAAGAAATAAATACCCAAAAGGTTTACAAACAAGCACTAAATAATCAGGGCTCTGACCTCAACATCATCTGGTCAATCATAAAATTAGCCATACCTAACCTTACCTGGTTTCTTCCCTTTATAATGCCTCTTTCTACAAAGATAGCTATCATTTATTTAATTTTATTTTTAGAAACAAAAGAACCAAAACATAGTAACAAACACAGAGACATAAACAAAACAACATAAAAACAATATAAACAATACAGAATTTCAGACCAGATGAAAAGAAATTAACAATGGTTGTTGCGTTACATACTGTTATCCTCATATTGATTACTATCTTGCTACTTCTTCTTAGCTCTGCCTCTTAAATACCATGGTAAAATTTGTGCCTTCCAGGCTACAGAAAATTTACCTTCCAGTCATGGCCAGACAAGGATTCCATTCTCTTTCTGAGAAATGCATTGCTCTTTCACCCCTCAGGCAAGCCACCCAACGGGTCCGCACTCAAACTCTATACAATTGTGGTCCACAAACCAGGATATATCAAGAAATTCATTTGGGGCCCCTTTTCCTCATTGCCTGTTCCCAGCCAGAAGTAGATGCAGAACAGATCTCCATTCAAATGTCAAAGAATGGATTTTGTTAATCCATCAGGGGTAAATGTACAGTGCTACATGGAAGAGGCTATTTAGGCCTCCATTTGGCTACCCCATTTGGCTTTACACAAGAGTCACTTACTTTGCTTCAAAATGAGTTGATATAGAAAAATGCAGAAAAATATCCATTAACTTTTTTTTCTGTAACAAGCATGATTATTACCCCAAACCCCAGGCTCATACCTTATCAGAAGGCTGATATACTAAGGCTTGCTGCCCTACTGCAAAAATGATATATATTGCCAACCTCAGGAGACAAAGAACACATGGCCCTATCCTATCCTAACATTCTCTTCCCGTGCTTGTGTGCCTTATCTATAGTTTTCAGGCTTAAAACACTCTTGTAAAAGCTCTCTGCCTTCAGCAGACAGTGTGACAGTCTCTGAGAATTTTCCCACTGCTCCCTGGTGGTATACTCTGTAAATCTGTTTCCTTGCTCTGCTTTGGTCTTGGTAAATTTTTCGGTCATCCATATCACTCTACATACACTGTCTCACATGACACTGAATAAATAAATAATCCCCCAAAAAAACTGGTTGTGTGATGTTGAACACAATTCTTAAACCAGAAATTATCATCAATGCAAAAATCACATGGCACTTGACATACTCATCCCACACATGTGCACTGCATTCTTTTTTTTTACAATTTCTCAACTTTATTTTTTTATTTTAAAGAGAGAAAAAATAATACAAATTATACAGAATTTCAAAACAAGATGATAGGAAATTAACAATGGTTATTATATTGTATTCTTATATTTCTTCTTTGTGCTAAGAATTTTCACCTGCTTTACTCAGGTCCAGAAATAATTTTTTTCTGTAAAATTTTGTTTATATAGTACAAAGCAAATTTGTGTCACTTATGTTTGGTCAAAGAGTAAAGGTAGGATATATATCAGTATGCTAAATGTACCAGAGAAAAATAGAATTATGTGAAATCTATAAACAGGTGATAGCTAAAAGAAAATGTGTGTGTTAAGAACAAAACATATATCTGATTTAATTTTATCATAAGTACCTTTTACCCCATAAATACATAGACACAGAGGTACTAGGTCCTGTCAGTTTTCTACACTCTATTTTACAGTAAGATAATATCTCATATACTAATACTGGAACAGTACTACAGGACTTACTGAATCTTGTTCATGTAATCATTAATTGATTAAAAAATATTACTTAACATTATAAGAATATTCATAGGCTATCATGATTTCCTCACAGCCACCTACTCTGCTTTCTCTAGGTATTCTTTTGTCTAGATTTTTCCTCTTTCACTCAGCCCAATCTCACTCTGAAGAGTCAGTTTCTCCTTCACTCTTCACTTCCACTTTTTCAAGTAAACTTTGCCATTGCCTTAAAAAAAATATTTGTAAAGGTAATCTGTATAAACAGAAAATTTGTCATCACTAATACTCAACTCCATTTTCAAAGAATAAAAAGTATAATATTACTTAGTTGCATTGGTTTTTGTGACACCAGATAGTAAAATGCATAAATTTTAAAAAAAGTAAAGACGGAACTAGAATGGCTTTCATTATTCCTTTCTTACAAGCCTTGTCCACCTCTGTAATTCATAAAATGGCCATCTGATTTCACCATAACTTCTGAAAGTCTAAATATGAATTTTTCTAGTGTCAAATTATTCTGCACCTTCTGTGTTTTTCCAGTCCACTAAGAACTGTCCTTTCTCAGCTGGCACATTTGAATGATCCGTTTTCGTATCTGCTTGGTCTTCATGCTGTACACAATGGGGTTTAGGACAGGGGGGAGTAGGAGGTAGATATTGGCCATGAGCGTGTGTACTACAGGGGATAAATGTTTCCCAAACCTGTGGATCATGGTGACACCAATTAGAGGAACGTAGAAGAGGAGCACAGCACAGATGTGAGAGAGGCAAGTGTTGAGGGCTTTGAGTCTTTCAGCCCTGGAGGCGATGCCCAGCACTGTCTTCAGGATGAGTACATAAGAAAAGAGAATCATCAGGGCATCAAATCCCAATGTCAAGATGACAATAATGAGCCCATAGAGGCTGTTGACGCGGGTGCTGGCACAGGCAAGCCGCATCGCATCTTGGTGAAGACAGTAGGAATGAGACAGGACATTGGAGTGGCAGAAGGGCAGCCACTTTATGAGGAAGGGAACAGGGAAGACCACGCAGAAGGCTCGAATGAGGACAGCTATTCCAATCTTTGCAATCACACCATGGGTGAGGATGGATGCATAGTGCAGTGGGTCTCAGATAGCCACAAATCTGTCAAAGGCCATTGACACTAAGACTCCGGATTCCACTACTCCAAATCCATGGATAAAGAACATCTGTGTGATGCACGCATCAAAGGCAATTTCAGAGACACTGAACCAGAATATGCTGAGCATTGAAGGCAAAGTGGACATGGAGAGACTAACATCGGTCAGAGCCAAGATAGCGAGAAAATAGTACATAGGCTGGTGGAGACTCTGATCAACCTTGATGACTGCTAGGATGGTTCCATTTCCCAGGAGCGTGAGGCTGTAGAGAAATCCCAGGGGAAAGGCCATCCATGGGTTCTTGTCTGGCATCCCTGGGATACCTGTCAGAATGAAACTGTGCTGGTCGGCATGTGATGCAGTCAGGTTCTTCATGGTGCTTGCACCTTTGGGTAAAGCTGGACTCTCCCACTTATCTTGCAGTTTCTAAATTGAAAATATACTATCATATGAGATAAGTAAATAGCTTTATGAATACATAGATGCAACACAGAAGGAAGAATTAAATGAAAAGCCAGTATTTGGGTGGTTGTTGTATCATTTGTCCTTTTGCTTCCTATGTAGTTATATGTGATGACCTCCCTTCTCTTGGCTTTAATTTGTTCATCTGAAAAATAAAGACAAAGCTAAACACCCAGTGTCTATACAGTAGAGAATTTGCATCTCTTCTCCTTTTACAGTTCTCAAGGTCTGGCAGGAGAAAAACAGTCATACCCGTGTACTTAATAGCATAGAGCAGTTAAGTAATTTTAAAACCCACTAAATTCGCAATGCTAATACCACATATACACCTCCACACAAACTCCAATGTTGCCACAGACCAGACCCACATCCATACAAGTCAGTGTGTGTGTTAAAATTATTTTCTACCTGCCTAGGTATTTATACCACAATATTTATAATGAGCTACATGTACAAGTAGACATATTAGTAGATAAAGTTGTTCGAACTAGCAACTGAACAACTTTGGTCTTCACAAACTTCAGAAATGTATAATTTCTCTTAACTTCATTTTAAGACAGCCAAGAACAGCAGATAAAATTTACTGGCCTGTACATACCACATATATGAAATACAATAGTGTACCTCTCACACAGCTTTTATTTTGAGAGTCTCCTAACAGTAGAACACTGGGAGCCATTCTTTAAAACTCTTACTACATCTAACAAACTTTTAACCAATTTCCAAAAGTGCCTCTAAAACACATGAAAAATTTATACCCTTTCTATTTTAATAACCAATAAATAGTGTATACCCTTTATTTCAGACTCCCTAGCTGGTGTTTCTGCACCCTCTTGTGCCCTCTTACAATGCATTCTTTATTCTACATCGTAATAAAGTTGTTTTACTAAAAATCTGATTTATTCACCACAAGCAAAATTCCTTTAAAGACTTCCAGTGTGCTTAGAACACAGCCTTAAATCCGAATCCTAGCCTTTAAGGTACATCATGATTGAACTACTACTTACCTCCCTAATTCCAACTGAAGCCTTTTATTTTCATCTTTGGTCTCCTCAATTCAGCCGAATTTGCTGTCTTTAACTACCTGGATCTTACTAAGCTATTTCCTGATGCAGGGCTTCCACTTTCCCCAGTTTCAGGCTTTCCCCCAATCCTGCTAGTGTCCCCTTTAGACTAGCCTGTCTATCCTTCCCAAGTAAAGCTTTCCCAGTGTCTATGCTGGTTTAAGTCTCCTTAGTATGCTGTACTCACATTCTGGGCTTTTCCTCTTATAAAAGAATATAGTTAATTAAAGACTACATAAGTACTTGTTAAATGCCTATCTCTCCTACTAGAAGTTAAAGTCCATGAAAGAAAAATATATTTTCTTGTTCACCCCCTCATAGTGCATATGCAGAGCACATATGAGTATTTCCATGTGTGCTGACTCAAGGAAGAAAACAATGAATAAGCATGGATAGCCGAATGTCAGACTTGTTTTACGAAGTCCTGAAAACTCTCAAACACTTCCCTGATCTTCAGCATTGAAAAATCACTACTAAAGGGGAGAATCTCTTCTTCTAAGGAACCTTTACAATAACGTAAGTGGAGAATTTTTGAGACAAATAGTATTTTTTTCTCACATGTCTACTTGATAAAAGAAAAATCCCATGAACTGATCTGGGAACTCTTAAGTCCAGGATGGGACCGGGCCCATAAAACCAGGTGGCTTCACTGCTTCTTCTATCCCTTCTTTCTCTGCTGTAGAAGGAGGATTAGCTGTTTGGGAAACATGATCACAAACAAGTTATTTTTCTAATTCTAATTTCTCAAAATCTTATGTCCACTTGTGGTGAGCCTTATAAACAGACACCTGGCTTTTCTCCAAATAAATTACAGTGGTGAGGTTTCAACAAGCTGGTTTGATGCCTGCCTGATCCTCTGGCTGTACTTTGAGGAAGGAGTTTGTTATTTTCTCCACATTAGATGAGAGCTTTACACTTCTCCAGGCTTGATGATCCTTCATCTCAAGTAATTCCAATGTCTACCTGTTTGGAATAGTCATTCGGCTAGTACCTTCTGGACATTCCTCTTTGTAAGTCCTTGAAAAATCTTCAATAATCTGTTATCATTAAAGTCTCTAAGTCACCAAGGCCAGCTAATGCAGTGCATAAAAATTCTTAATTCTTATTTTGCCCTTTCTTTTCATTGCTTTTGACTACTTTTCTTGACATAAATATATTTCATCCAATCTTCTTTTTTTCTCAATCCTATTACCATTCTCTATCTTTTCTCCTATTATCCTTGACTATTCTGCATCCTCTTTTCTCTACTTCCCAATGAAATTCTTGTTTACTCTTTCATTTTATCTTCATGTTTCTCCATGCACTGTACCCTCTCCCACAGTATATGTTTTCTTTTATTCCTGACAACACTTGCATTTCAATTCTTTCCACCACTATGTGGTGCTCTACATGATTCTCCTGTCTTACTCATCTCCCTTACTAGAATTTCTGTGAGAATTTATTGAAATATTACACATAAATTTTCCTACACAGAACTTGCTAAGATGAGCTTATTACCTGTGAGTTCTAGTTCTGAATTACTCTGGCTTCTGTCTTTCCCTGAGACCAGCATGCAAAGCACTTATGAAGAAGACTCAAACCTCTAGTGGTGTCAGAGGCCAACATAATTCTACAAGCATTTCATAACTACCCCGGGAAGTGTCTCCTGAGGGATGTCATGTAGCGCTATCTGTGCACCTGGGCTATTTCATCCTGGCTTCCCTGAGAAGGCTAGAACTCTAAATCTTTCCATCACCTGTCAAGCTATTCTATTTTTTTTTTTTTTTTGCTTTTGAGAGAAAAAATAGCAAAATATCAACAATGAAGACAAAAAACAGTACAAAAACAATAAAAAGATGCAAGATTTCTTCTTTTAATATGCTGAGCAATTATTTCATTATGGTTGTCATTTCTTTTTTTACCTGAGTGAATATTTCTGATCTGATTTCCTCTACAGCCTGATATAGTTGTTTCTTTACTTCAGTTGCTATCATTTCAGAAATTTCAGGTGCATGAATTCCATATTCTTCCATGTTGATGTTTCCTGGACTTGTTCTGGGTTGGGTAGAGGTCTGAGATTGCATTTTTCTCCTTCTTTTTGTCATTTTAAAATCTCCCTAGGTTTCCCAGTATTCAGGGTCATTCCTGCAATGGTGGTGGGAGGCAGAGCATGGGGTTTTGGGCTTCCAGAAAGCAAACTGGGGCCTCCTGGAACCCAGGGTCCTTCATGCAATGGCATCAGAGGGACAGAGCATAGGGTCTTGGGTTCCCAGGAAGCTCACTGAGGCATCCTGAGTCTGAGGGACCTACCCTCAATGGAAGTGGGGGAGGCAGAACCAGAGGGCCTAGGCTCCCAGTCAGCTCACTGAGGCTTCTTGGGTCCCAGCAACTTTCTTGTAATGGTGGCAGGGAGCAGGGTCAGAGCAGGCTAACCTTTCTTCAGTCAACACATCTCAAGGTTTTCTTCATTTTTATTTATGTATTCTCTCTCTCTCTCTCTCTCTCTCTCTCTCTCTCTCTCTCTCTCTCTCTCTCATAAGCGCATTCATATATGAACAGTATATATTTATTCAGTACCTGTGGAAGAGGTTCCATTTCTAAAGATAGCCAGGCTGCTTAAGGAATTGAGTTCCAAAGTTTGAGGAGATAGATGTTTGAGGAGATAGATTTAAACATTATGCAATGTGTACATGTATTGAAACATTACATGGAATCCTATTAGAATGTATGATTTTTATGTTTTTATATATCAGATAAAATAAGTTTTAAAAAAATCGATTTCCAGCTAAATCATCTGACCTATTATGCACTTGCCAAGAATAGTATATTGACATATCTACTCTTGAGTTTTTGGATAGTAAAGTCCAACAATCTGTCATTTAAACAAGAGAATTTATTGCTTTCTAACCAGGTCATTGAATTTCTTCCTGTTTGAATTTCCTCATTTGTAAATTCAAGATGATGTGTAATGTATTATTTACTGCATTATTTTTTAAAATGAGGTGCAATTACATATACAGGTTTATCATATTGCCTAATGCAGTATTAATTGCTTAAAAATATTTGCCATTATGGTCACTAATCAAATAATACTTGTTATAGATGGAATGCTCTAAGTTGCTATTCAAGATAAGGTTTCAGCTGAGCTTAGAAAATTACCAGTCCTTCTAAACCCTTGCTACTCAAAGTATGACCCTCAGAAAAGTGGTGTAAGTATTCCAGGGAATTAAAATGTAAAATTTGCCTTTCAACCCAAACCCACTTAATACATGCATTTTAACAAGACCTCCCAAGTGATGTGTACACATATTAACATTTGAGAAGCAGTATTACAAGCCACTCCTTTTAGTTAATTCACTTCTGCAGGTATCAGGGCTATGGCATTAGTCCTCAAAGAGAGACAAGCATTCAGAAGCTGATCTAGCTAATAAGGTGACATATAGGTCTATATTCAGTTCTGCTAATGATATATACATTATGAGCTTGATTTAAATACAAAAAAAGTGCTACAGTGAAGAATATAAGTCTGTTGAAATCAGGAAGTCGTGGACTTATACTTTTCTTAAAAAAGAACACATCATAAACTTCCTAGAAATGGAAACTTTATATTAGGGAAATGGAAAATACTACAACTTGAATCTTAGTGTAAGACAGTGTTTGGAGATAATTTGGCAAAGCCTTAGTAGTCTTACTAACAGGAGCAGAAAAGTGGGTAGCCTCTGAAAGCATTTGGAGTATCTGCAGTTTCAAAGCCCTCAAGGGCAGCCATCCAGAAGTCCTGAAGCCATGCTTCATTGTCCCAGGTTTTCCCAAATATGCTCCTGACCTTAGAGTAACCAACCATCCTGGCTAAACATACAAACGTTTCTGGAGCTCTGTGTCTCTAACTATTGTCTTCAGCCTGCTTCTCAGCCCTGTGTCACTGCAGAAGGTAAGTGTGTCTTTAGTGGCTTATAAAGAGACCTTCAAGTACTCATGCCTAGACTCCAACTATTTAATAGCACTCAATCTCAATATCCTTCTTCAGGGCATCAATACTGCTGGGAATAAACCAACAAATTCCACTGACTTTGTATGTTGTTTTCTCCTTAGCACCAATGTCTTCTTCATCACACCTGTAGCAGTGTTTCCTTCCACCAGGACATCTTCTTACTTCACCACCCGTGACATACAGTACTTAGCCATGGAGCCCCCATGCAAGAAATCGTCTATGACATACTTATTAACTAGGATAATATCTTCATCTCCCAAGAAATTTAAAGACTCAGTTTCAAATCTGCATCTTACCTTCTGTTTTCTCTGACCACTCCTAAGTACTCTAAAAACTGGTCCTCACAATCAAGTCATACGTGTGTGATAAAGAATGGAGGATATGCTTTAGAGGGAGTCTGAGGAGGCTTAGAGTTATTGGAACATGGGAAGAAAGTTTTTACATTTTTCTACATTTCTAAGTTTCAACAAGGCCTTGTGGGTCTTAAGAGCCCCGGTTCTCTGTCAGAAGTGTCCTTCCTCACAGGAACTGACCTACTTACACCCTTAAAATAGTGAGTCATACCTTCTGTAAAGTGTGACCTCAGTGGTAGATACTAGATGGCATCAGCTAAGGCTCTGCTATAAAGACCTACTAGGTGCCTTTAAAGTTTCTACAACAACCTCTTGTACAGTTTGCACACTCTTCACCTTTTCTGTTTTGGGGGTCCATTAATGCCTCTTGGCCACATGCCAATTTCACAGTTTTTACATAAAATCCAAAATTGAAGGAAAGTGATATTTCATAGCTAATTTATGTGAAGTTTGCACAATCTTTGGAGGATGCAGACAAGATTAACTTATGTGCTAGGCTGAATTCTTTATGATCATAAAATTGGCCTCAATTTGCCTCACCCTAGTATATTCTGCCTCAGAAAACCTAAACACCTGTGCTATACAAAAATAGCAAGCTTTCTATGTTTCAAGATTTTTGCCTAATTAGGTATTTTTAAATCATTTCAGGAAATTCTGGGCCCATAGGCTTTGCTTTCTCCTATTCCCAAGAAATTCCCTAACAGTCAATATCTTGAGCACAGACTCGAAGCATCTTCCTCTGGCTCCAAAACAGGATGGAGGTGGATAAAACAGAAGAATTAGCTTATGATTGCTAATCATAAGGAGAACACTTGCTCAAAACTTAGAGCAACAGAAGAATAAGGAAAGACCATCACAATAGTGACACAATAAAAGTTATGGAGGGAAGAAATATGCATATAACTAGGACCTGGTTTTCTGAGAATTAGAACAATTCCCATTAATTAGACTAACCAAGACAAAACTAAAAGTCAAATTTTCTGGTTGTCACACTCTGCTCTTTACTATGTGCTTGAGCAGTGACTATGTGTACCTAAAACCTCATATATTTGATGTTTTCCTGTTTAGTTTGTGGAGTTACAGGATGAATAATCAGACATAGATCTAATCTAAGTTTATACTTTGTCATCCCTCTCAGAAAGGAGCAGTGAAAAGCAGATTGTTGATCTGTACTACCCCAGTCTTGGGAACAATGGGCACACCTAAGGACTACTGTGCTGGACATGTTAAATCCCCAAGTCGGACCTTAGGAGAGAGGCCTTTCATCTGTTTGACAGTTAAGGAAAATGAATGTCAGAGAGACTCGGAGACTTAGAGGGGTTATTGTAACTGAGACTGATTCCTGGATTACATGAGGAGGTTTGGCAATTCCGTTGCTTTTGAGAACTTCAATTTCTTCATCTGTACAATGGATATAGGGATTGCTACCATATTAATTATGTCAGTAATTTTCAATAGTAGCTAAGTGCTTCATGCATATTAGCAGTCTCTTAAGTATTGATCTAACATATAATCTTGGGATAAAGTCAATTTATATACAAATTATATAAACATATCTTTATTTTATGCTGATCCATTTCCATGAACACAGTACATTATGAGCAAAAGTTATACAGGTTGATCAAAAATCATGGAAAGTTTCTGTAGGGAAGGGAAGGTTTTTCCCTTCCTTGGAGTCTTCACATATTTTAATCCTGGAGAGAAAAATACAAGAAGTGCAATACCAAGTAAGACACAATTATTTTCTCATTTCCCATCTTTGAGCCTGTAATTTTTGTCAGGCCATATTCTGTCATGAGTGACATCTCCATATGTATATGCAAGCCAGTCATCTACAACACATGTTCAATTAGTACGAGTTTTAGTAGCATCTTGATGGCTAGTGATTAACTTAGGAAATGTTTCTTATAGCTAAGGTAATTTTGAAAATACATAGTTTATAGAAAGTACACTTAGTAAAAAGTATTAGTATATAATACTACAATGTGTTGTAAACTTCAACTTAAACACTGAGTTAGAGGCCCTAAATAACTTTGTATGCAGTCCATAAGCAAGAATGTCTTGTCCTATTTCCTCAAATATAAAATGTGAACAATATCTCATAATATTTCAGAATATCTATAAGAATTACATGAAAAGTACTGAATAAACACTTGTTATTATTTGTTACTGATGTCATTGTTGGTTTGCTTTCTTTCCAACTCAAATATCCTCCAGATGGAGGACGGTTATCTTCTGTCTTTAGAACTTAATTCCATACTCAATTTTGTCATTCCTTTGGAACTATAAAGATTGGCCCTAATATCTCAGAGTTCTTGACAGGTTCCCAATTGGGAAGAAGCCTTCTATATTCAAATACCTTCCTATCCATTAGCTTATTTCAGAGAAACGAGGGAGCAGCAGTCATCTGATCTTAGCTCTTATCTTCAGGATTTGAAGAAGCCTCTCTCGGATCTGCTTGGTACGTACAGCATAGACAATGGGATTAAGGATTGGAGGAATGAGGAGATAGAAGTTGGCCAAGAGAGTGTGGATTGGAGGAGACACATGGTGACCAAATCGATGAATTAGAGAGGAAACAGCAATGGGAACATAGAAGATCACGATGGCACAGACATGAGAACCGCATGTTCCCAAAGTTTTAAGCCTGGCCTCTGGCGTGGCAAGCCCCATTACAGCCCTGAAAATCATCACATAAGAGGTAGCAATAGCCATGGAGTCCAGGACCAGTACCACAAACCCAATGCTCAGCCCATAGACATTGTTGACTCTGCTGTCACCACACGTCAAGGTGATGACAGCCATGTGTTCACAGCAAGAGTGGGAGATGATGTGGCTTTTGTAAAGAGGAAGCCTCAATCTGATCATCAGAGGCAGTGGTCCAATGTAGAGAACTCCTCGGAGGAAGGCAGCCAACCCCAAATGACCCACCACTGCATGGGTGAGCACCGTGGTATGGTATAGCAGGTTGCAGATAGCTACATAGCGATCGAAAGCCATGGCAAGAAATATGCCTGACTCAACAGTAGCAAAGCAGTGGATAAGAAACATTTGGGCCAAGCAAGCATCTAAGCCAATATCACCAGCACCAAACCAAAAAATGCTCAGAAGTTTGGGCATAGTGGAAGTGGACAAAACCAGGTCAATGATAGCCAGCATGCAGAGAAAGAAGTACATGGGCTGGTGCAAGCTGTGTTCTACCCTTATGACAGCCAAGATGGTGACATTTCCCACCACAGCCACCAAATACATGGAGCTAAAGGGGATAGAGAGCCAGATGTACAGGGACTCCAGCCCTGGAATGCCCATGAGGTGGAAGGAGCTGGGTACAGAGCAAGCATTATGAAATGTGAGCATGGCTGTTTGTAAATGAGCTTTATCATCTGTGCCCCAAAATGCAGCAGAACTTGTGTTTCCTGGAAAGAAAGGACAACACTTCACTCTTACATCATATAATACAAAATAAAGTCATTAACTAGACGCTATAAACTTTTAGGAAAAAAGTTACAGAATTTTATACTATAAATGTCATATTATACTACAATGTCCATGAAATTTTAACAAGCACAGCAAAAATGCATACTTTAATAAATGATTATCTTCTTGCAGCATGACACACAAGTAGTGATGTTCTTCTATCAAGAATGAGTTGACCTCAGCAGCTCTAGGCCCTTCTGGTATCTACTTCTGCAGGCATGTTATGAGGTAACTATTGGGACTGTATTATAATGCTTTACAGTTCCTGGAAGAAGTTGAGATACCAGTTCAGACTTTGGGGACCATCTAAACTCTACAGTAAATAAAAGTTTAAGCCTGGGACTCTTGTTAACTATTGGATGACCTGAATTTTCTGATCTTCAGGACAAAATCACCAGGCAGAGATGTAGGATACTGAAGGCAGGGCTTCGGGAAGGTGCAAATAAGGTTATTTCTGAAATGTGAATCCTCTGAAGCTCAGTTTGGGTATCTAATAACCAATGGCAGAACTTAGCAAGGGTCTCCTCCCTCCTTCATTGAGGCTGAAGGTAAGATTCCAGAAGCAAAGGTCATCACCAGGAAGGAAGAAAATATATTCACCATTCAGTGAATATAGTGACAGAAAGAATAGAGTGACAGAAAGCCCTAGGAAATTACTATTTAGCCAAAAAAAATTTTAAAATGTTTATTCATAATCCAGAGCAACTAGCTAAAAGGAAGATATTTTCAGAGAAAAGACAAGAAACAATTTGTGCTGTGGTGTCTTTTTTTGTCTTTGGTGCCCACTCGAAAGGATCAAGCAAGAATCTGTTTTTATATGTGTTAAAGAACTTGGAAGAAAGATAAGGAGCATCTGAGAAGCTTTGTCTACTGCATCTTGAATCTAATTAGGTTAGACTATATCAGGATAATCAGTAATCTCATTGAGGAGTATTCCAGATTCTGACTTCAGATCCTGTCAACTAGAGCTTAAGGAAACTACTTTATTCTGTCAGTGAACAATGTTTAGCTTTGCTTTAAAGCAAACTTTTTAAAAAACTGTTTCCTGAAGTTGTCATGAGATTATATGAAGTGTGTCAGACACTTAATAATACTAAGCATTAGCCTTTTTTATGCAGTTGAGACTGATGTATCAAACCTAAAATATGCTCAATAAACTGCAAAGAACTTTGATCTGTCTATCTCCAGGGAGCTGTGTCTCTGGGAAAATGACCACCATGTAAGCCCACTTCAACAACTTGATCTTGCAGGTTTCTCTCTCTTTCTGTCTCTCTCTCTCTCTTTCTGTCTATCTATCATCTATCTGTCTATCTATCTATCTATTTATCTATCTATCTATCTCTCTGTTTTTTGAGACAAAGTCTCACTACATAGTTCAGGCTTTTCTGAACTCACTATGTAGCCCAGCCAAGACTGGCCTTGAACTTCCTGTGATCCTCCTGCTCAGCCTCCCAAGTGACGGAATTACAAGCATGTGCCAAGAACTTCTCTTTGTAAGATAGATTCACGTTAAGATTTTCAAAGGCTATTAAATGGGGACAGTGCTGGCAATATCTTTTAAAAGGGAAGATAAACGCCTGTCATGGTGGCTGGGAAGAATGCGGAGTCAAGGGAACTGGCCTGTGAAGTCACGAAGAAAGGTGGGGCAGAGGCACAGCTCTAGGAGTCTGGCTTGTCTTCCTTATCCTGTATTCACGGTGTTCCCCTCTCCCTCTCTGAATGATGCCTCCAGAATCTAACAGTTCTGGACTGTGTCATCCAGATTGGCCTCTCCTCTGGTTTCCAAGTGATCCCAGCCAGTGTGAGGCACTAGCAGGAGTTCAGATGTTAATACTAGAGGTCAGAGACTGGCTCCCAATTCCTTTCCCACCAGGCATGCTTGGCAGTGTCTTGTCTTCTACAAAAGGCCCCAACTCCTGAAAAGTGACCCTTCTCATGTTCTGGTCCCTACATCTTCCCTCACCTGCTAAGGTCTGGATTTGGTAACACTGCCCGCTGTTAGTCCTGACACTTCACCGCCCCTGTCATCTTCCTCACGTCTCCCTGTACCCCTGCATAGAGTCCCTTCACTTGTCCCCAGGTTGGCCATACCACATGCTCTCTTGTGGATATTAGGCCAGGCCCCAGCAGCACACCGCCTTTACCTATCTCTTGACATGCAGATGGCTTCCTTAACAGGACAGAGAATCTGAGATAGGACAAGCGATATAACTAACTCTTGAAGCAAAAGATCTGTAAGCCCAAAGTCTAGATAAGTAGTCTGTTGTAACATGAATGTGTCATATTAAGCAGAACTGTAACATGGAAAGTAATAGTTTTCCTTTATTTCAGAACAGGGAGAGGACTTGAATGGAAAAATAAGTAGGACTTGCCTGGTGAATTTTTCTGCCCCCTGATTCTTCTGCGTAGGTGTTACTCCTGTGTTGGAGGAAGTTGTTTCGGGTCTATCTTCCCTTCCAACACCTTTCAGGCCCCTTCATTACTGCCCTTTGGAGCTGGCTCCCCTGTGGGTTTGGGCAGAGCAGTGGTGCTACAGGAGGATCTCAGAGGCCCCAGTCACAGACAAGGTTAATGTAAACCTTGGGAACAATGGACATGAAAGAGATGACTTTTGTCAAAGCCAGTAGACATTTGTTCCACCACAAACCACTGTAGAGTCAAGCCTAATGTTCTCAGTCCTTCTAGACTGACCCACGGCCCTGAAACAAGAAACTTGATTTTTCTTTCCTTCCCCATACCCGAAAACACACACAATGCTGTTTTCCCGATGGATATTCCAACTCCATTTAACCTCTTCCTCTTCCTATCTGTCTATGAACACATCTTGAAACTGAAAAAGATTCCCACGATTGGAGAGATGTGACTTGGCTACTAATGAGGGTGGGCTGTACTGGTTTTTTCTCCCAGAGACCTAATATTAGTACTTCCTTAAGCCTTCCTAGTCAGAAGTGGCCCTGAAAACTTGAACACACCCACGAGACCGTAGCAATTCCGTGCAGGGATAATAAAAGTGTAAGGAATTGCTGCAGATCAACCCTTCACTAAGCTCCCTATCCAGACATATTCACCATAACCAGCCACAGCTCTTACCAGTCCACACACTGCTTCTTACTGAATATTTGTTTCCCAAGTGTATCGTGTTCTTTTGCCTCTGAGAATTAACCATGTTATCTTCCGGTAGCAATGTAGAAATGGCCCTATTTTCCTCACCTGGCAAATCTTTTCACATCCACTTTGCCACAGCTTAAATATTGCCTTTTCAGGGAAGCCTGCTTTAAACTCAGCACCCTACTTCTGTATTGCACAGTTCCAGCCAGTGCCTGCTGATGTGCATGTTTCCTCATGAAGAGGCAAGTTCTGACAAGGGAGGGATTGTGTGTGTCTCCTCTATTATAGATTCTGTGATAGCAAGTGCCTAGCTCTGTTCGAGCATCTTAGAAGTACGTTAAAGCCTTATATTGACATTAATGAACTAGAAGCTTCTTCATTCTCCTTATGTGTGGTTTTCTGCAGATTCTTTCCTTAAGTCTTCTTCCAAGAGAAATCCTCCCACTGAGTCATTTCTTATATACAAGCCTGACTAAAGCTGGCTGCCCAGGAGTCCAGGTCTGTGCATCCTTCTAAGGCAGGGAGCCTTCCCAATGACCCTTGCTCGTTTTCCAGATTCCCCTTTGAAAGGTGCTCTTACCTGAGCTAAATCATATCAGAAGAGCCTAGGGCTCTGCAAATGCTTCACAGACCTTGTACTTAAACATTCTGCTCAGGAGCCTAGAGAATTCCATCTGAGAGAAGTGGAAGGCTCAGGGCCCACTGAAACAGTAATTGCTGTCTGTATCCCAGAGGGATGAGCACAGAATTCACATGTAGACATGGCTATCCTCTGCATGTCCACAATGGCCCAGGGGGAAGTAAAGGGAAAGACAGACCTCTTGAGTTATTATCTCTTGGGTCCAAGCCCTGCTCTTGCTCCTTACATCTGGCCTCCCTGGAGTTTTCAGCTATTTTGAGGGTACCAAACAAAAGTCAAAGAAGCCTTCCTGAGGTAGAAATGATCTTTCCTTGGACCCAGAAATAAGGGATTAACCTAGCTGTGAATTTCTAGTGGTGTTTTATCTCTACATATTTGGGGATGATGATAATTTCCTGAATTGACTAAGACATCACAATGACAATACCTTAAAGGGTATTTACATCGTGAGATCTGTTTCCCCATTTTGGTTTACATCCTGAGAAGATCTGTAAGGGACATGCACAAAACCCCTGCACTTTTAGAACTCCAACATTCTCACGTATCTCATTCCCCACAAAGAGGCCACATGGAGAAAGCAGTCCCTCTCAGGGTGTCCCCACCGGAGTTGGTGGAGCCTCACGCTCTAGGAAATGTGGAAAGACATAGTCTTTAAACCTCCAAAGGCTTCAGTCTGCAAATCTATCCCAGTTACATGTTCACTGTGACCTCAAACTATTCCACCCGTACTTCCAACAGATGTAACAGATGTTTGAAAAGTTGTAACTTAGACACTATGCATAACCATTACTACTATTGCTTCCACTTCTGCATTTCAGGAGTTAGCTGTCATAGGCCTTGGAGACACAAACTTTTCTCCTTCAGACCACAGCAAAAATATGCAAATATTGAAGCCTGAAGTAGTTGGAATCATTACAGGAAGGATTCATTTTCTCCTTTCCTTGTAGAAATTCCTACTTCCACAGAACCTCAGGAGAAACTGGGACGTTTGCAAGCTTCTCCACAGCCATACACTTAACATTCTGTGTAAAGTCAATGATAACTACCAAAATAGTGTCCTTGCCTCTGTGTTTGTCCATGTCCTGGACCCTTGGCCTAGCAAGGAAAAAATAGTGCCATTCCATACAAATTC